TTTAGTTTTGCATCATATTTGACTGGAATAATGAAAGACCAAGTTTGGTAAAACCTTCTTTTATTCCATTTTGTACTGGAGGTATAAAAATGCTGAACAGTTGTTTGGAAATCCTGAAATGTTTTGAATTTTACTGCATATCAAAACTATTCTCAACCTCATATGAGGTCTGCATATTTTGAGTGATCCATAAAAGTGAGAACGTACAAGATATCTTGTAAGTTTGCACTTTTATGGATCACTTAAAATGTGCAGAGAAACAAGCGGGTGTGAGGGAAGCAAGGGGAATGTGAGCGATGCACGTCCAATCACCAAACACACTGATGTAACCAACTGAAGTCTGTTAGGTGCATTTGGCAGGGGGGAGGAGAAACCAACCTCCACAGGTGGTCTGTTATGCAAACATCTATTAGGCAAGCAGTCTGTTAGGCAGGGGGCCCCTGTAAATTATATTTTTGAACACCCTGCTGCTTTGTATGTTGCGCTCTGCCACTTTGCTGCACTGCCCCCAGTTTGCACACCCCACTGCTTCATTATACACCCTGCCACTTCATCTGCATGCCACACCTGCTTTGTATCCACACCCTGCGGCACATTGTAAGTTTGTACACCCTGCTACTTTTTGTATGTTGCACTTCACCTTCTTTGTACACCTTGCTGCTTTTTTATACACCCCACCTTTTTGTGCACCCACTGTACCCATTTTCTATATACACCCCGCCACATTGTATCTTTGTACACCCCACTACTGCTTTGTAAACCCAACTACTGCTTTGTAAACCCCCACTGCTTTGTACCTTGCCACTGTGTTCTCAGCTTTGTACCCTGCCTCTTGAAGTCCACTTTTTACATCCCACTGGTTTGTACCCAGCCATTTTGTCTGCTTCATACACCCTATATCTCTGCTTTGCAACCCGCCAATCAAAGTCCACTTTGTACACCCCACTGCTCTGTACCCCACCACTTTTTCAATTTTGCACCCCCTATGTACCTTGCTGCCAAAAGCCTGCCTTGTACACCAAACTGCTCTGTACCCTGCAGCTTGCATCCACTTTGTGTGTGCACCTTACTGCATTGTATCTTTGTACACTGTATCTTCAGTCACCCTGCTGCATCCAATCACCATGTCACTGGCTTTGTACAGTGAGAGATGCCAATCTCACCAACAAAGAGACCAACACTTCATTGCCTACAGGCACTATCTCTCCCCACAGATCTGCAAAGGACAAGGACGGGACCCTAAGCCAAACCAGGAAAAACATCTGCCAAAAAGTACAAGGGAAACTAACAGACCCATCCAGCAAAAACCCAAGGGAAACTCATGGAACCAAGGTCATTAACACAGGCACATAAGCGCAGAACAAAGAGGACATTGACACATTGATCCAAACCTTCCAACACAACACATCTCCTGGTTCTCTTGTAACTATTGTGCTGTGCCTACTTCTGTGCCTGTTTCCACCAAACCTGCAACTGGACTAAAAGAAAATATACTCCTGCTATTCTTGTGTACACACTAAACCAACTGTATCACTTACTGGGGGCTTGTCTGCCAAGAATACTAAACCCTCACCCAACCTCATCATGCCCTGGGACACCAAAATGTCCAGAGCCGCAGAATGTGCTGCCATCAAGATGGTTAAGATCCAGTTGGCTTGTGCAGCATCCCTTGGACCACTGGTGGAACATCCAAGTCTCTCCATGGAGAACGCCTCCTCCAATGCATTGTCAAACACACTGGGTAGGCCGCCCCAGTGTGATATCCTTGGCCTTGATGCTGCATCCATGGGACTTCATCTGCCTCACTTTGCTCCAGTGTTTCACTGAGACCTACATTGCCAAACAACCTCTCACTACAGAGAAACCCAGGTACATCACTCTGCTCAGCACCTGTCACCCCCCTTGCGGTGCATGCACAATCACCATGCATCAGATCTACCCAAGCAGTGCAGCAACAAGGACTTTGAGGGCTACACCATATGACTCTGGGAACTCCTGATCAGTGACAATGTCAACATCAATGACAAAGTTGGATGCTTGATCCACAACACTTCCTGGGACATCTCCAACACAGCTTGCCAAGGGTATGCCACAATCAAAGAAATCCTGCCAATTGGACGCACCCGCGGCAAAACAATGGTGCCTTGTCAAAGGACTACAGGAAGCTCAACACCCTACACATCCCTGACAACTACCCAATGCCTATCATCCAGGACCTCATTGGCACCCTGGGGTGCCAAAAGGCATACATTTGTATGGTGAACCTGCACAGTGCTGCTGCAAGACCACCCCAAGACTGCATTCTTGACCCCCAAGGGGCAAATGGAATACGCAATCCTCCCATTTGGCCTATGTAATGGACCTGCTGTTTTTCAATGCGCCATCAACTCCATCCTGCGCTCACACCTGCTGACAAAGTGCCTTGCCTACATAGACAACATCATTCTCTTTGGCAAAACATTCTAGAAAGTCTGCCAAAACCTACAGGACATACTCAATGCGCTTGACAAGGCGGGGGCATCAATTGGTATCACCAAATCAACATGCCTGGCGAAGCACATCAAATTCCTGGGGCTCATAATGGACCAAATAGGGGCGGGCCAGCCCCCCACTACCTGGCAGTGGTCAAACAATGCCAGCGGCCCAGCACAACCAAGGAAATGCAGTGCTTCCTGGGTCTAGCAATGTATTTGCAAGCTCACAAACCCCTAAACTTTGCAACTGTGGAGAACGTCCTGTGCACTCCAAGTCCAGCCAAACCCAGCACCTTGCTGCCCTGGGACCCACTGGCCAAGCATGTATTCCACAAGCTCAAACACCCAATTGCCAACTTTGCCCAACTCAAAGGATACAACATAGTGCAGCCCATTGAGGTACACACTGATGCCTCAGCCTCCAGCCTATAGGGGCAGTGTTGGTGTAGGTACACCCAGAGACCTGGCCCGTGGTGATCCAGTATGCCAGCAAGGTCCTCAGGGACACAGAAATGGACTGCATCAACACACAGCACAAACTCCTGGCCATTGTCTGGGCTGTCACAAAAAGTTCCAACACTATCTGGAGCACCACACATTCCACATGATCACAGACCACCAGCCCTTACTTGGCAAACTGAAATTGTCCAAACTGATATGCATGCATATGAAACTTGGCCAATACCAGGGGGAAATGGAATACCACCCAGGTGCCTCATTGCACACACTGGATATGCACTCAGCCAAGTATCAATCCTATCTGCAGACCTACAAATATCCGTGCACCCAGGACAATACCGCAAGGTCATCAAATGATACCATCTTGACCTGGGACATGCACTTTTGAGGAAAGTCCTACAAACAATCTGCACATGGTTCACCTGGCCACATATGCACCACAGCATCTGGCAGCAGCTTGTGGACTGCCCAAATGCTTCACTCACAATGACAGTACCAAAATCACAGGGGAGAAGATGTATAGGGCTGGATTAAGCTGTGCGCTATTCATGCTGCAGCATTAGGCCCACCAGGAAAAAAGGCCCATGGAGAATTTCTTAAGAACTTCAGCTTAAGAAATCAAACTTTTTGAACGTTATCAAAACCCTGAAATTACAAAAACTTTTCAAAAATCATGAAAGCGTTGGGGCTGAAGAGGTTTGGAGCTGAAGAGGTTTGGAGCTGAAGAGGTTTGGAGCTGAAGAGGTTTGGAGCTGAAGAGGATGATTGGAGCTGAAGAGGTTTGGAGCTGAAGAGGTTGAATTTTTAAATTCTTGTCATTACAAATTATTTGTTCTCACTAACTTTTTTCCAAAGCCCCACAAGTTTGTTGTAACCAGATTTTACCGTAATCATTATTTGCCTTCCTCATATACATGCATTGTACAGGGTGTTCTAGTACTAGAACATTGAAAAATCATTGATTAGTTTATATATTAGAATGCCTGCAAAAATTTTCCTTTTTTTATTTTCAAAGGGTGCCAAATTTGTTCTTGCACAAAGGCGCCTCCCACCCCAGCAGGGCTGGTGCTGACAAGGACGCAACCCTATAAGCCAAACAAGGAAAAACATCCGCCAAAAAGTACAAGGGAAACTAACAGACCCATCTGCCAAAAACACAAGGGAAACTAATGGAACCAAGGTCATCAACATTGGCACATAAGCACAGTACAAACATGACATCAACACATTGATCCAAACCTTCTGACACAGCACATCTCCCTTTTCTCTTGTGACTATTGTGCGCTGTGCCTACTTCTGTGCCTGTTTCCACCAAACCTGCAACCTGAATAAAAGAAAATATAGTAAGTGTACGGCCAGTATAGTAAATGTATGGTGGATTCATATGGTTTTGGTACACTGTTAGATAAGGTTGTATTTTCTTTGCACAAGTAGGAGATTCAGGAACAGTTGCAAGAGTGGCACTTGGCACGTAGTAGAATGGCTGGAGATGGAGCTGCGGAGTGTCAGGAGGTTCTTTTCGTAGTGAAGCGTTGTCCCTTTTTGCGCACTTAAGTGCCGGTGCTGTGGACCCTGGGTCCCATTAGGTTCTCTTGTGTTTTTGTGGCAGATGTTGTTCCTGGTTGGGGTCCGTTAGGTTCCCCTTGTTTGGTTTGTCAGATGTGCTTCCCCCGTTTGGCTTAGGGTTGTGTCCTTGCTGTTTTATGTGATCTGTGGGAGAGATAGTGTTTGGCAGTAATATGTGTGTTTGGTGTTTGTGTTCTTTTTGTGATAGCAATCTCTCACTATATACTCCTGCTATTCTTGTGTACACACTTGACCAACTGTACCACTTACTGCGTATACAGTATCTGCTTGAAGTCTTTCCTTCCCACAGGGTTGCTGGAGCCTTGGGAATGGCACAGTCTTTGAAAATGCATAGGATAGAGGGCAGCAGGAGTGAAAAACGGCCGGTGGCACGGGAAGGATAGTGATGTTTCGGCCTGGATCGCTGATCTACATCAAGTGTCTTTATGAAATTTGATTCTATGCATTACTGCTTGGCCTTTCGGAGAATTCATTTAAGGCTTTGTTCTCGTTCGTAGGTTTGAGTGATAGTCGTAAAATCCGAGCTAATGGGGAAAATGTCGCAAGACGATTCTGACCAAGAGAAGCTCTTGGACACGGCATTGAGCGAAGTGAAAAGTCAAGCCTTTCAGATGAAACGATGCTTGGACAAATCAAAGCTGATGGATGGACTCAAGCACGCATCGAACATGCTCGGCGAACTCCGTACTTCCCTTCTGTCCCCTAAAACGTACTACGAACTTTACATGGCTGTTACCGACGAGCTGAGGTACTTGGAAACTTACCTGACGGACGAGTTCCAGGAAGGGAGAAAAATTGCAGACTTGTACGAGCTAGTTCAGTATGCCGGTAACATCATCCCCAGGCTCTATCTCCTAATCACCGTCGGGCTCGTGTACATAAAGACGAAGTGTCATTATAGGCGAGATATTCTGAAAGATCTGGTGGAAATGTGTCGAGGGGTTCAGCATCCCCTGAGGGGCTTGTTCTTGAGAAATTACTTGCTGCAAGTGACGAAGAACGTTTTACCCGATGGCGATTTGGATCCGAATTCTCCGGATGAAGGCCAAGGTAGTCTTCTGGACTCCATCGACTTCATTTTGATCAACTTTTCCGAGATGAACAAGCTGTGGGTCAGAATGCAGCACCAAGGTGAGGTTTTTTTCGACCTTTTGAGCTGTGAGTCCGTCCTGAATTTGAACTCGCTGGAAGACTTCGATTTCAAATTTATTCCTTGCCTTCGTTCACATTTTCGTGAAATTTCAGAAGTAGTCTGTTATCGCAGCTCCGTACTCAAGTGAGTTGAAAGAATCTGTTTTCCTGATTCCAGGCCATAGCAAAGATAAAGAAAGAAGGGAAAAGGAGCGCTTGGAGCTGAAGATTCTGGTAGGAACGAACCTGTCCGTGTTATCTCAGTTGGATGGGATAAATATGGAAAGGTACAAGCAGCAAGTGCTGCCTGCTATTCTGGAGCAAGTTGTGAGCTGTCGAGACTACATTGCTCAGGAATACCTCATGGAGTGTATTATTCAAGTATTCCCTGACGAGTTTCACCTGGAGACCTTGAACAATTTCCTGAAGGCGTGTGCCGAACTTCTGGCATCTGTCAACGTGAAGAATATTCTCATCAGTTTGCTGAACCGACTCGCGGCATTTTCTCAAAAATCAGATGCCGCTGGAATCCCACAAAATGTGCACTTGTTCCAGATTTTCTCTGAACAGGTCGCATTGATCATTGAAGCTCGCCCGGACATGCCTCCCGATCATATTGTCTCTTTGCTGGTGTCCCTCGTGAACATGGCGCAGAAGTGCTATCCGAATCGAATGGATTACATCGATACAGTTTTGGAAAGTGCTAGAGAAGTTGTTAAAAAATTATCAATGTCGAAGGTGGAGTTTCAAAGTCCGGTTGGGCAGCAGCTGGCGGCTTTGCTCCAAGTTCCGATTGCGAGCTACAGTATTCTTGTGGTGCTAAAGTTGAAGAACTACGTTCCCCTGCTCGAAGTTTTTGACTACAGGTGAGCCAAATTGCCCCATCCGTCTGTGATTATTTTAAAACGCTGAATATGCCTTCAGGGGGAAGAAGGAGATAGCCGTGTATGCTGTTAGTACACTCCTTGAGCAGGAAACCGAGATTGAAACGGCGAGTGATGTGGATCAGCTGTTGACGTTGATAAACCCCTTGATTGCTGATCCTAGTGGTGAGGATGAAATCATCGCTCTCGCAGAGGAAGACAAGGAAGAATTCGAGGAAGAACAAGGCCTTGTTGCGAGGCTCGTCCACTTCTTCAAAGTGCGTAATTAGTTTTTCAGTTTCATTTTCACCGTGAACTCTAGAGGCTTGGTTTGGAAAGCCTAAATGCCTGTTATTGTTGCGTCGCATGGAGATCACTGGTAATGGCATGATAAAAAAACTAGTTTTTCGCATTTTTTTTTCCAGCAAAATTTTTGTGCTATGCAATTGTCTTTAAAACACAAAAGATCTGACGTCGTTCAGCTCATTCCAGGAAACTTCGAGCCTGAAATGAGAAGACTAATTTAATTCGTTGCTCAATTCCTACGTTTGTTTCGTATAACGAGGGGTGTCTGATGCCTGCGCTTCGCGAATTTGAAACATTTTCTGGCAGTGTTTCGCGGTAAAGTTATCCCTTGTGTCTGTCAAAGTCGTCCTCTGTTACCATTACCTGCTGTAGTCCCAGGGCAACGTGCGAAACTCGAAATCAATTGACGCAAATTTTCTCGAGTGATCTCCGTGAAGGATCATTGATCTGCAAATGCTACTGAACCTTTGATATTGATGATTGGAAATCGTGTGGGAATTATCTATTATGCAATGTTTGAATCCATCGCTGGGAGAGGTAAGAAATGTGGCAAGTTCCAATGAAAGTAATAATTAAAAAAAAGATCGAGGAAGTGGAGAACGGTGAAAAGTACGTAAGTGTTCGGCATTAACTGTGCGTTTGAATGAGACGCCCCTGAGCCTTGAATACCTGTTGTTCGCAAATGGCTGTGCGAGTTTTAGACGCATGGGCTTATTTTTCTTCGAACAAGTTCTTCCACGAAAAATTTTACGCTACTGTACTCCGAATATTTCCCCTTCCGGGAAGTTTTTCGTTCTCTTTCGGCCAGATCGTATTTTTAGGAAGGTCGCCAATGTACAAAAATAGGACTTTCGGGATAGGTGGGTTGAAGAATTGGTTCGTTCCGCCTTGTACTCTCTTTGAGGTTCCAAAGGGTTACTTTGAAATAGATGACATTCCATTGGCTAGTTTCAACTGCAGAAGTACCACTTATTTGTAATTTTGCGAATACTGTTGAGAGTCGAGCCTCTTCAAGTCAAACTTCAATGGACCTGCAAAAATTCTAGTTACGCAAACAAGAATTGCAGGAAATTTTAATTGATGACATTTTGGGCCCTAGAATTTTTCAATTGAGTTGACGGGATGCTGAACTTTGAGGCATAAGTTCATTTATCCAATTATCTTTCACCTCCTTTCAAAGAACATGAAGTTGTATTTTTATTCCTTTTCTCTTTCCTGTGTCGATGAAGCGTAATAGCCAAGAGGCCTCCTGAAAATATGAGTTAGGGAGCTTTCAGCGCATTTTTTAAGGGAATTCAGGCGGGGACTTGAAATTTATTCGACTTACTGACGTTCGAGTCATTGCAAATACTGTGCATATACACACGTATTGAAGGAAAATTGTACAGTATACTAATGGGTCTGATGACGACCAGAAAATGAGGTTGAATGGAGAACATGGCTGCAACGGAAAGCACCCGTGTACAGTTCGCATTTCCCACAACAGGTTACCTCATGGAAATCACATTGCGTCGAGCTCATTATTATGTTCATGTAATTCTGAATTTTGTGAGTGGGCTCTAGTTATTTTTCTTTCCGAAAGGTTCCTGAAGACTCGTCGCCAGATAATCAGTACCATGTGCTGAATTGTGCAAAGAAGCATTTTGGCACCGGAGGGAACCGTAGAATCAGGTACACGTTACCACCACTGGTCTTCCAGGCCTATCAACTGGCATTTCGCTACAAAGCCATACAGGAGGAGGATGAGAAATGGGAGGCCAAGTGTGAGCGCATTTTCCAGTTCTGCAGGAGTATCATCATTGCTCTGCTGAAGGCCGGAGAAGAGCATTGTCCAGCTGATGTACCTCTCCGTCTATTCCTCCAAGGAGCCCTGGCAGCGAGTGAACTCAATTTTGAGAAATCGGAAACTGTGAGTGTGTTTGTTAAAAACGTGATATCGACCATGTCTCAAGCAGCGTCAATTTCCAGGTGACCTATGAATTCATCTCAGAAGCTATGACAATTTATGAGGAAGAGATCTCTGAATCCAAAGTGCAGCTGCAAGCGATCACGTTGATGATTGGCACCCTGGAAAGAATCAACTGTTTCGGGGCGGAAAACCACGAAACTTTGCGCAAAAAATGCGCTTTGAGTGCTGCGAAGCTCCTGAAGAAACCGGATCAGTCCAGGGCCATGTGCTTGTGTGCGAATTTATTCTGGTCTGGAAAGGCGAGTCTTGAGGCATCAAAATTGTACGGAGGTTGTCATAGTAGTAACTCAAGAATTTTTGCTTCAGGTGAAACCAGAGGAAGGTGAACCTGCTGCTTTGATGGATGGAAAAAACGTGAACGAGTGCTTGAAAAAAGCTTGGAAAACTGCTGGGAGCTGCATGGACAAAGGTGTACAAGCCCAATTGTATGTGGAGACGCTGAACTCCACTGCTTACTTCTTTGAAAAGGGCAACGAATTGGTGAGGAACTTACGTGGTCTTTTTATGTGCGAGAGTTGATTCGAAAGGTTTAGCCCCTTCAACACACAAGTGTAGCCTTAATCATGGATACTTCGAACGAAATCTCTTCTCAGCATGAGGAACACTGTCAAGGAAAGCATTTAAAATTAGCATTACTGCATGGAAATCACCTTCATCACTCAAGTGCCAAGTGCCCCCAAGAACGATGTGCACCAAGGTTTTTGAGTCGACAATTTTGATGAAATGGTGTTGTAGATCTTATGACACACTTTGAAAAGAAGGAGATTGCTTAGAAAGGTATTCCAGGTAATAATGAGTAGAGCTTTTAAACAAACGGGTTTACATCCTGTAGTCATGAAAATATGACCTCAGTATCCCTCGGTCAGACGCGCACCCCAACTTTTGGGACTCAAAAAGTGCAATAAAAAAATAAAAACACTCTAATGTAAATTCAGACTGGAATTCAAACTGAACTCGAAGTATACATTTTGTCCATTGCAATAAGTTTTTCTGTTGCCAACATTTCCCATTAAAATCAAATGTAATGCACACCTGAACTCCCTAGACTTCCTGAAAAAGGAATGCCTATGATTTGCAATCCCTTTTTTTCTCTCAATTTTGAGAGAGAAAAAGTGGGCTTGGAACTCCAGTAAGTGCAGTACAGTATTGTTCCTTAGTTTCTGATGAAGGGACGTGCTGGGCAGGTATGCAGGAGAATCTCGTCACAGTGTTGAGTGAGCTTCTGTATAGCGAATTTTCGCTTTGAAGAAGCTATTTTACCAGTCCCGATGGCTTTGTCGTAACGAGATTTTACTGTACAATTTGCTGTATTTGAAACTGACCCTTGTCGTAGTTGTATTTAACGAAGGTCGGACGACGCTGAAGATATTTAGGCAGACTAATGATGAATTTTGGGCCATCATCCTTGCAGGTGGGAGTGGAGCAGTTGAACCAGTCGATCAAGCGAATCAGAGAAGAGTTGGGTCAAGTGGACGCTGGAGACGAGACAGATCTGATCCAGCGTCACCTCAGTAACACTCTGGAACACATGAGGATCCGGGTTGATTCTCAGGAAGAAAGCCTCCGGTCTTATGCTGGGATTGAGCTGTGACTGAGTTGCTGACCCCCGATTTGACCTTAGCAGCACCCAGCAAATCGTCCCGCGGCGAGACGTGCAAGCGAGAGAGAATGGCCGAGTGCGAAACCTTAAGGGCCAGGGGAAAGATTTACCACCTGACGGAAGGGAATCGCTTGTCAGCATCTTTCACATATGAAGGCCATTTTGAGAGTTCTGTTGGCAAGTTTGGCTATACCGGCGAGACTATAGCTGCCATTTCTCTCCCTATCCCTGTGTTGTCCTCCATGTGATACGTTGTTGCACCAATTCACGAGGGGTTTTCGAGTGAGTGAGCTTGTTTATGGGGCGATTCGTGGATGGCCGTGTGAAAAAAACTTTCCGACCCTTGCTTGTTTTGCTTCCTGGAAGTTGTCTAGTCGCGTGTTTTATTTCTGTTGGGCAAAATGCTAGCTTCGAGGGAAGTGGTTATGTGATTTGGTTTAGGCTTATTTCGGGGAAAGGGACTTGCATTCGATCTTTCTTTGCCAATTTTTTTGAAGCATCGAAGGAAAGCTGATTTATTTACCCGTGTCTCTCGAAATGTTTTCTCATTCCCCGCATCCGCGTGAGAAACTCCCTCTGAGTGCTGATGTTTCTTTCTGCTTTAGAAATTGCGTGCCAGTTATGTCAAAAACCGGGTCTCTGGCATTGTACAAGCATCTTTTGAGACAGTGTGATAAATTACCAGAGAGCACTCGTCCTTATTACAAGAACTTCGTTAGGCAGGTAAGGTAGATGATTGAATGAATTTCAAGCGTTGTTGTGACCAGATCATGTTGATCTTTTTTTTTAAGGGCTTCACGCAACATCGTGACGAGGCAGATCCGGAAAGAATCCGAGAAATCGTCGAACGGTCCTACAAAGACGGAGAATGGATTGTTCAAAAGGTTGGAGCGCTTGAGACTTTACTTAGGTTTCAGGCTTAGTTTGTAGATTGGAATGGTAATTGTGCCCGCTCAAGTTCTAACTCTTTTTACCTTTCTCTATGTCATCTCGGATGGGTAAAAATTTGACCAGAAGGCCAGAAATGATCTTACAGTACAATCTTGTTACAAGAATACCGTTACAACAAATTTTTGAGTGTAAAAAAACTTCTTCTCTAGTCCTGGCAGAAAGCCCGTAGAGTGAAATGCTAAAACGATCTTGTTATAACAAACTTCCCAATTCCAGTCTAACAAACGTTTTTGAGGAATTTTTAATAGATTCTCAAGGTGGAAATTTTCTGACTATGGCAGGCGCAGTCTGAAATTTGCAATCCCAAAAGTGATTGACTGGTTCTTGTAGCATGGATGGAAGCTGCACTCAATAGAAAAAATGTTTCCAAGTTATTTTATGCAACATCCTCCCAGAATGAAGATGCTGTATTGGTGCAACTGATGGAATGGGTGATTGACTTCAATTTTTAAGATCACCTTTTCAAAAAATGATGGAAAATCTAAGAAGATCTGATAATTCTAATTAGCAGATCTGGCGTGGAAAGTTTTTTTATCCATTAATTTTTAAAATCTTGTTCTAACAACAAATTATTCAGTGTAACAAACTTTTTCTGAAGCCCCGAAGAGTTTTTTGGAACAAGATTAAAGTTCTGTAAATCTTTCAGAATTAGTTTTTTTATTATTATTGCGGGAGATGCACGGGTGGAAAATTTGTTTGAACCAATCCTATTCTGATGAATTCCCAGTACTGTACATTCCCTGGAAATTTTTCAGGAGTGCACGAGTACACTTCCTCTTTTATTGCTGCATGCTTCTGTTCAGGATGCTTGAATCAGCGTTGGCGCTCTGCGTGAGACCTTGGAACTTCTTATCGCTTATTTTTCCTCCGTAGTACAACCGGTCATGAAGCAGAAGTTTGCCACGGCAGTGACCATCCCGGAGAATGTGAAACCGTCCAGAAGGTTTTTCTCGGCATTAGCTATCTGGATCGGTAAGCCGAATGTGGTGAACAAGCGAGTTGGTGGAACGATTGAGGAAGGTAGGTTCAGCGTAAGGATTCAATGTTTCAAGGACCTCGAGGACAACGCGAGGAACTTGCAAAAATGTTTGTCTCTCCGAAACTTTCACTCGGAGAACTCCAAGTTGGTCGAGGAAATGCTACCGATGTGTGGACCCGAACCCGGCAGATCAGTTGAAGTAGTTTGCAGAAGGTTTATCCCCAGGGGATCAGTTTATGCACAAGTTCTGGAATATCTCTTTATTGGTGAGGAATTTTTGCCTTGGCATACTCAACTCGTTCCGTCGAAAAATGAAATCTTTTCAGATCATGTGGGATCTGCTTGTTTATTCATCCCCGTTGAGTCACCTGGTGATTCAGAATTGCGAACTGACATCAACACCATGCATCCCTATGCCTTCAAACTTTCCAAAAATGGGAAGCTTGTTTTGATGCTCTGCTCTGGGCAAAACCAAGGGTGCGTGTTAATGATTTTTTGACTATTTATATCTGAAGATCTCTTGATAACTCTTTCGTTGTTTCTACCATGAGAATTATGTAATACTGTACTGTCTTCAAAAAACAAGATGTTACAAATGCGAGGGTTGTCCGAGTTGAACGCGACTTTTTATATTTTTAGAGTAGACTTTTTAAAATCCTGACATTGCCCAATGATGTTCCAAGGTTCTGGTTTTTTTGTGGAGTAAATGCATATATTTTTTAATTTACCGCTTGATGATGAATGCTTTCCAGTTACAGCCAGAAATCTCCACCCTGGTCACTGGATGTTTAAAATTTGTCAGGCTTCCTAGAAACTTGAAATTTTTTGTTGCTCTAAACTTTTAACCATTATCTGAAATTTTGAGAAGATAATGGGTTAAACAACCAACTAATCCAATTTGGTAGCTGGTTTGGCAAATTGTTTGCCCTCTGTCACATGGGTGGAGAATTCTGGATGTAACTGGATATTTTTGCTCATGCAGTCAATTGAAAAACTTTTTTCAAACTCCGAAAGAAAAATCTGAGAAGTTTAGCACATCCTGGGCTATGTTCGATTTTTTTTTACATCCAAAGTCACACTTACTCTAAAAATATCGGAGGTCGCGTCTAACTGGGACATCCCGTGTAAATCTAAGTACTGTGCTGTATCTGGAACTAACGCATTCCTTCGCTGTACTTTCTAAAATTCAAATGTCCAAAGAAGACATTGATCATGAAGAGAAATCTTATTCCTTCTATTGCAGATACGAATTCATCTCAGGAAAATTGTTCTCGAAGATGGTTAACTGGATTTCAACTGGAGCCCCCATGATGAGTGATGTTGATTTAGTCGCCGTGCCTTCTTCGTTGCTCCTAGTTGACGTGGTGGATTATTACTTGAATTACGAAAGACTGAAGAAAACGTACGCTCCTGCGTTAAAAAAGGTCGTACTATTTTTTCCGTCGGATTTTCAAATTTGTCATGAAAGTTTGACGTCTGCAGGTGTTCATTGGATCAAACGCTCAGAAGGACATTCATGAAGAGATAGGAATAGCTGCTTACTTGGTTTCGTTCTGGAATAAACGTTTCCCGGGAAAGAAGCCATCTTTTGTAGATCTTGGCTGTGGGAATGGTATTCTCCCTCACGTTCTCTACTTCGAAGGCTATCCAGGATTTGGAGTTGATCTCAGGAGTAGGGAAATGTGGAATTTTTTGGAGAATAGTAATCTTTATTTGAAGGTGTGTTCCACGATATTTTTTGGAAGATGTGTTTCCAAAAATTAAAGTTTTTATTGCAGGAAGAAGTAGTGACACCGCGTTCAAGTTACCCAAATGTTGACTGGGTGATCGGAAACCATAGTGATGAGTTGACCCCCTGGATTTCCGTGATCGCTTTCAATTCGTCACCGGAAACCAACTTTTTTGTTCTTCCCTGTTGCCCGTTTGACTTCAATGGGAAGTTTTCACGGGGTACGAATCCGTCCCATTTCGGAGAATGCGACTCTTGGACTAACTCTGTGTATTCCTCCTACAAGCATTATTTGTGCGAAATTGGAAAGGTTGGTTTCGTATGAATTTATTAACGATTGTGTGCTCAGCGGCGGAATTATGTGTAGGAATGTGGGTTTGACGTGTTGACTGACCGCCTGAGGATCCCGTCGACGAAAAGAGACTGCTTTTTGGGACTGGCAACCCAGGGAAACCGAGAAGAGACCAAGAGGCATGTTGTGGAGCTTATGAACCTTGGAAGTGCCGCTACGAGCTTCACGCCGAGAGATAAAGCTATTCCTGTGAGGAACTGTACCAAAATAGACCCCGCAATCGTCAGTTTGGTCGTGAAGACAGTTTCGGAGCTGTTGCTCAATTCCTGTCGTCCTGCAGTGCATTCTAAATCGGATGCAAGGTGGGGTGCCGGTGGGACAGTGTCTTTGATCGAAATCGTCAATGCTCTTCCCGGAGATGTCCTGCAGACCTTGAAGGACCAGTGTGGTGGATTACAGACTCTGATTAGGAACCAGCACTTCATTTTCAAAGTTGTGCAAGGCTGGGTTGAATTCAAACGGCCGACACCTAGACAGAAAAGTGACAATGTGCCTTGGAAGACACAATTTTGTTGGTTCAAGATGAACCATCCTGACGGATGTCCGTTGGAGGACGACGTGTGTGGCTATTCTCACTGAGTGTGCTCATGTAGTTCCGTTGGCTGTTGAAGAAAAATTGTGACTTTGTTGACGAATGTGACTAGTGACAATTTAGATCCGGAATCCGTTTTGGTTCTTTTCTCTTGAACACCCGGCTTTTTCCATCAAAAAGCTAAGGAATTAAAGGTTAAAAAAAGTTGTTTTTCATTCCACGCGCGTTAATTTTTTTTCGACCTAATGTACTGTATTATCTGTCAAAATTAGTGTCAGAAGTTTGTCCATCCCTGATGCAGCGAAAGTCAGGTAGTTCAAATGTACGAAATTGTGAACTTACGAACATTTCTGCAGGGTATCCGTTCCGCTAAAATTTTGAAGTTGTCTCATGTATGGAGGATCTCTTTTTAGCTTTCTTCGAATGGAGTGTTCCTCAACCTTATTCGACTTGTGAACGGGCAAATTTTCGGAAAATTTTTTGGGGATTGGCCAAGTTCCATGCAATTTTTGCAGATCAGCAGCCATTTTTGAAAATCTCTGCCGTAAGGTCTTCCAAAAAAAAATCGTTCATTGAAAAAATGAAGTTGAGAAACAAGGAAGCAGATATGATGCAATGTCTTCAAAAAATTAGACAGTTGGGCCTCAAAGAAGGTTTTTCAGAATGAAATCTTGAAATAAATAAATTCAGCCTGTGGAAATTTGTCTGAAGTGAATTTTCTCAAGGAGAAAAGCCAAGTTTTTTTTCAGCAGATAATTTCAACTTCCATTGAAATTTCAGATAAAGATAACAGACTTCATTACTACCATTGGTAAATGTATTAGGCTGAAGAAAATTTTCCCGCAGACCAATAAAAAACTTTTGTGGACCATGGTTTTCAGAACACAGTTTCCATACACTCAGCATGACTTCTTTCGCTTCATCATGGCAGCAGTTTTTCTTTAAAATTTTTTGTTTCTTAGCTGATTAAACGAAAAATTCTGGCGCGGTGTTCGTACGAAAGGAACCCATGTGATTTCCGTTCGCTGCTTATTTCGTCGCTTCAGTTGAAATGTGCGTTCGTGTTTGTGTTCAGCAGAAAATCATGATGTTCAGTGACATATGGACCGCGAGGCCGTTCAACAACCAGTACAGGTGTTATTCGATTTCCATGTTCCCTGGGAAAGAACGAGCGCATGTTGACAAGGGCGGGAAGATCATCATGCCACCCTCAGCCCTGGACCAGTTGTCACAACTGAACATCTCCTATCCGATGCTCTTCAAGCTGACGAATGAATCTGCGGACCGAGTTACTCACTGTGGTGTTCTGGAGTTTGTCGCTGAAGAAGGGAAACTCTACATGCCGCACTGGATGATGCAAAACCTGTTTTTGCAAGAAGGAGAGTTGGTGCGCGTTCAGACTGCTACTCTGCCGAGGGCGACTTTCTCGAGGTTTCAGGTCAGTTTACGAGTTTTTTTTTTGTATAGTACAGTCAAACCTCGATAAACCACCGCCATTTGTTGGTGAGGAGTGTGGCGGTATAACAGGGGTTGGTGCTTCATCAAAAAAGCTAAAATAATGCTGAAAATAAAGTGTAATAGCGAATAAAATTCGTCTTTTTGAAGTAAACAATCGAAAGAACCCTGGTATGCGTAAATTATGTCTAGCTAATTTTCCCAGAAGTAAATTATGTCATCTTTGTGTTGTGTTTTTTTTTTATCGGAGAGCTTTTGCAGAAACCTGGTTCTCATTGGCAGGCCATTGAAGACAAAATTAATTGGCAAGAGGATATTTGAGTTTTCGGCAATTTTGGCTGGTTGGTTACCGATGCGCATCAGGAAAGATTGGAAAAATCGGCTGTTGCTGATGGGGTCTTGTCAACGAAGTTTGACTGTAATAACGATTCAGAAGTACTTATCATACTACTGTCTACTGTACTTGTACTTGCAGCCATTGGCCTTGGGATTCTTGGAAGTTACGAATCCGAAAGCTGTTTTGGAGAACGCTCTGAGAAACTATGCTTGTCTCACCGCGGGCGATGTCATCGCAATTCACTACAACGAGCATGTTTATGAGATTTCTGTGTTGGAAACGAAACCTGCTGTTGCCGTCAGCATCATTGAGTGTGACATGAATGTGGAGTTCGCTCCTCCTTTGGGTAAGTGTTCTAATACAGTATTTCTCTGCCTACTCGAAAGTTTGGGTGTCCCGAAACATTTCTTGGAATAAAAGTGCGGGAAATTCGAAATTCCAAATATTGGGTGGAATGCTTGCTGAAATGCAACATTATCGAAATTGAACGTCGAGAACGGTAGAAGATGATAGCTTGAAAGTTTGGATATTCAAAAATTGGTCCCCGAAACATTATTTCATGGAACTTTCCCCCAACTCCCTAGTCATTCTCCGATTCTGTGCGTAAGAGTACCTTTACCGGTACCGTCAGTGAGGTACAAGCTTTATTTGCTGCCTGTGAGCGTTCACAAAAAATTTTGTTAGCAGTTGATAACCTGAGAGTTCTTGTTCTACTTTAATTTGGTGTGTGGAACAACCATCCGTAAAATGAGTTTTGTAACATGTCTATTACCGTATGTATATTCCGGGAATGTCATTGAGATTGTGATGGTTGAGGGAATCAGTTCCAAGAATTTTGCTGCACAGTACCTTTGATAACTGTGTATTTCATAAATATAAATTTTAGGAGCCCATTCCACCCCCAGAACAGATCAACAATGAGAATTTGGAACTTGAAAGCTTTTTCTTACCTGTATTACGCAGAATTTCAGATTGAAGCTCTGTTTTAATCAATACATCAACGAGATGAATTGTGCGCAGGAAATCACAGGATTTGGCTCTAAAAAAATTGTACCCGCTCACGTATGCAAGTTTGTAAACCTAGTCGGAGTTTTTTAGCCGAGGCAACTAAAGCCCGAACCCAAAGTCAGTTAACCAAAACGTTCGTAAGCCAGGGCCTTCGTTAACCCAGACCCCACTATATATGCAGTACACGGTGAAAGAGATTGATTTTTCCACAGGTTATGATGAGGATCTGAGACCTTTGAAAGAGAGCAAAGGTCCCCTTACCAAAGCTTCTCAAGAGGCCGTAGCTGCGGCAGCTTTACGCAAAGTCTCTCTTGTGCCAGAGGCCGCTAAAACCTCGGATTTCAAGTCGTTCACTGGCCAGGGCCAACGTTTAGTGAACCGCAAAACCGTCGACGTGGAAATGGATGAAGAGTCTTCAGCGGAGCCTGACACTCAAGCAGGTGTACCCGACTTCGAGTGGAAGTTCGGAACGTTGAAATTCATGCCCGGCGTGATTCTGGAGTATCCTGACCAGGTCAAGGATACGGATGCAGAAAATGCCTTCAAAGCTTTCAGTGGGTCGGGACAAACGCTGAAGCCGAGCGAGCAGGATTAGGATTAAAGCTGGCGAAATCCCTGAAGGGTCTAATTCTGCAAGATTGTGATCTATGTCGATTTAACCTCTTTTTGAATTCACATCCAAATAAACTCGTGTTGGAATAATTCGCTCAGAACCCAGTACGCGTCGTATTTGTATCGGGAGTTCGATTTCTGGTCACTGTTATTCAGACGCCTTTTGTTGTTTCCTGTCCTTTACAGAAAATGGCTTGTGCTGCTGAACCAATGACCGAAGAAGTTTCCTCCTTGGAAGAGGAAACTGAAGCGGTTAGGTTCGACGCGAATGAGTTCTTCAGCCAGATGAACCGACTGATGCGGAAAGGTCTACATGAAGCAGCAGTCAGACTTGTAAGTGTGAAATACAGTACCATGTTCACAGAAATACAACCCGCACAATGAAGTTTTCATTCCCTTATTATTCGAAAAAAGTTAAGCTGCCGATTCTAGGATGTTTGATGTCAATTGCTTGGCAATACTCCATGCGTGTACCGCAAAGTAAGCAATTTAAAATGACTCAAAAAGAGTGCATTGCCATGACGAAATTAAAATAAATAGTCTTATTCATTCTCAGTTCAGTTACTTATGCCATTACTGTCAGGATGATGATCAGTAGGGCCTCGACATGCGGACAAACTGACTTTTTGACGCTTGAAAACTCAAAAATTCTTCCCCGACATCTGGACATTGGTCACTTCCCGAAAATTTCTACAGAAATATATACACGTTTTCAACATTTTTATATCTTGAAGAAACTGAGCTTTTTATATTATCATAAATCAGTGGTGCCCAACTCAGAAGTGGCCAAGGGCCACATTGAAATAGAAAATCATTATGAGGGCCACAATGGAAAAAAAGGCAAAATAAATGCTGTACAAAACATTGTGTAATTCATAAATTCCTGGCATTGTTGAAACTATTATATTTTCTTATCAAGTTCAAAAAGGATTTTAGGTTTTTCATTATCTGTTTTTTCCCATTGATAAACTTTTTTGCTGCATTTTACTGATACAGTTCAACTTGTATCTTCATAGCTTCATGACTGAATTTTTGTTAATGAAATCATAGAATTTAATCTGCATAACTTTTCAAAATGATTCAACTGAAGTCCAAAAACAAATAAGCAAATGAAAATTCTGAGTGATTTGATATAACAAAGGACAATATGAAACAGAAACTTCTGGAGACAAGGATTATTTGAGGCAGATACATTTTGAGGTATGGATAATATGAGTCATTTTCAGATAGAAGCATTATCAAAAATACTTCTGTATTTCTCCCCAATATATATTATTAAAGGTGTGAAAAGGAACAAAAATGGCACTGCTTGGTCAAAAAGTGACATGAATGAATATCCCATGAGCACAACCATGCAGAGATTTTTTCAGGTTGAAAAAAATTGTTCTTTCTTTCCTTCCTCTCTTGTAATACACCTAATACATTGTTGTAATACATTGTAATACACCTAAAACATAACAGAGCACAATAAATCTGTAGCACACAAATAAAAAGGTAATGTATATATAAATACGCATTTTAAATGTTGAAATTCGAAAGCATAACATTCAAAAACATCTTCAAATGGAATCATGCTAAAGCCAGAAAATTAGGCCCAATTTAAAAAATGTTGTGTACAGAGATAAGGAGGTGGGGGAGAATCTGAGAACAACCAGAAATTTTAGTGCAATTGAAAACTCCCTAAAATTCACCAAGAATCTGGAGAAGACCAGAAAATAAGTGTATACAAAATATCTTGTGTGCAGAGTTGCTTTGGGACAGCCTCAAATTTTCCTTGTCTCTAAATGGCCATGCCTCCAATTGTCCCTGCCACTAAATTGCCTTGGCCCCTGTGCCTCATATTGGCCCTTTCTCATATTGGCCCTTTCTCACATTGTCCCTGCCACTAAATTGCCTTGGCCCCTGTGCCTCATATTGTCCCTTTCTCATATTGGCCCTTTCTCACATTGTCCCTGCTTCAAATTTACCCTATCTCAAATTTTCAATCTCAATTGGCCCATTGCTGAATGTCTTTGAGTTAAACAAGTATAGGTAAGTGTTTACGTAAAAATGTACTACCAGATAATTTCAAAATAATTAAAACAAGTACGATAAGTCTTTTAATTCGATGACATATAGAAATGGGATAGTTCTCTACGTTGAAAATTAAAAATACAACAGAACCTGCAGGGGTAACATTTAAATTCCCAGATTTCACTCTGCCATTTCATCTGAACAACGGGATCAATGAAATCACAAAGCAATGCATACTGTTCTATTGGTCTTTCTTGTTAGAAAGAATCATAATAAAATTTTTGAAGCTATTGTAAAATTTGTAATCAAAACAAGACGTCTTGAAAAACTTGCAAGTTTTACTTTTTGATGGTGTTAATTTTTTGGTGAGGATTTGCATGCTTGCTTAGCGGGCCAGATGAAAAGCCTCCGCGGGACAGATCTGGCCCGCGGGCCGTATCTTGGGCACCCCTGATGTACACCATGTAAGTGTAGTATTGTAAAGAGCCATTAAACTAGGCCTTCAAAGTTGTGTTTAAATGAATAAAGTCAAAACTGAATTGATTGGGATGAGCTACTGAAATCCAAAGGATACTTGACATCAGTTCAAAAGTTTTGTCTTTGACCAAATGATTTTGTGAATATTGCAAAACTCTAAAAATATATTTTATTCTCTAGGCATGTCCAGTATCTTGAATTATTTCTTGACTCATTTGCTTTAGGGGTGAAAGCAGTTGCAAGGAACACTCTCAGACTTTGATTATAATACAATAAGGGATATTTATACCTGACTTTCTAATCTCCAAAGCACTTGAAGTCAGAATGAATGTAAGATTAAATGTGAAGACTTGATGAAAAAGAAATCCCCCTGGAATTTCATGAATCATATATTGATTACAGTATTGTGAGTTTGGAAAATAACATGATTTTGTTCAAAGTTAATTTCAGGCCAAAAGAATTCCTTCCTATTTTCTAGGTACAGGGTTTAAGAATAATCACTTGGGTTAGTGCTCTTGCCAGTGCAGTACAGTACAGTATACTGAAAAGTAGAAGAAATTCCACTTGTTGACCTTGTGGCACTAAAAAAAATTTGAATGCAGTGACAGGAAACCCATAAAAGGGGACTCTGTGAGAATTATACATTTGGTATTGAATTTTGGTCCTGAGCCAGGCTGGAAGAAGGAATCCCCCTCATTCCTAGGAAATGGTAGGAAGTCAAATAAGGAAGACTGGAGAATAAAAAAAAGCACTTGTGACTGAAGCCACAAGTTTTCATCCCTCAGCCGCACTGGTTGTGCAATCCCAAGGCAGCACTTGAGAAATTGATGCGATGAGGCCTGTGAATGAAGAAATAAAATGTGCCTTGGACAACTTTCTTTTCTTCTTTCCTTTACGATTTGGTATTCAATTGCATCATACACCTTGTTTTCTGATTCTTTTTTTTTTTTTTTTGAAGCAAAGGACGCTGGTGTTTTTTTTTGTTGTTGTTGTTGTTGTTGTTGGTGACATGTTTGCCCCTGTTGGTAATTGATGCCAATAACTTCTCACGAGCTCATTTGTTATTTAAATTTGATATTTTCTGTTGTGGGAACTCTTGAGCATGACACTAAACTGAGAAATGTGAGGATCATTTTTGCTCTACATGTCATTCAAAATGTTTAATGATGGAAAGGTGGGGCCAAAATATTGGTGAACTTTTGTCAGTTTGAGAATATGTGAATACTATGATGCGTTTTTCGCAAAATGGTATTTTTTGTGTTATGCACCAGTAAATTTATACAAGTATTATTTTGTGAAAATGTTTGAAATATATGTACTTATTTATCTAAAAACATTATATTCTTTAATATGACCTTTCGAATTGACAATGGACAATACTTTCACTTATATTTTCTAGGTGTCTAAATTTATATGATATTTATGTAAATTCCAGGCAAAAGGTTGTGTTCATGAAGAGAATAGCAAAGTTATTAATCTTTTATCATTTTTTTCTATTCAATGTTCATGATTTTAATTGTATTATTCATGACTTGAACATACACTTGAGAATGATACTTTTGAAGCATAAATGGGATCTGAATGATTGCTTTGTGGTGTCATTTTGGGTGTGGGCAAGGTTAATACTTCAGGTGACATCTGGGAAAAGAATGACTTAGTCATAAAGTGAATAGGAGCCAATTTAAACTTCATTCTCTTGAATTTTCATGCATCTTTTTGTAAATCAAGCTTGCTGGGTTTTTTGATCATTATTCTTTTTTACTTGGATGCATTCTGTCCTTGGTGTTCTACTTTTCGAATTTCCATTCATAGATGTCGTTCTATAATCATGTTTTTACATTATTCTGTGCCTGCAAGTAAGTCAGCTTAGTGATTCAGAACTCTAAAGTCTTGAAAACGTATAGCATTTTGAAAATATATAGCATTTCATTTCTGCTTCGTTTTATTTTTCTTCCCTCCGCCTGTTGCTCATTCATCAACACCAGATGGCGCCATGAATCAGATATTGTGAAAGGGAAGAAAGTAAAGCGTGAGTCAGCTGTTTTTCCCTGCCGCTGTTCGAACGTTGATCGATGCATTTTCCGCTTTGGGATGTCGGCGCGGTTTTAATTGGACGGTGATTGACACCAGAGGGGCAATTAAACCTCTCTCTCTCCCCCCCCCCTCAACTACTGCTAGAAAAAAGAACAATAAACTGGACTCTAGTTATTGTGTAACTCACGGTGTGTGTGTATGTGTGTGTGTTATCTCATGCCCGATGGCGAGGGTTGTTTTTTCTTGTTTTATTTTTAAGGTTGAAGTATCTGTAACCGATTGACCCGCTTTTCAATGACTCTGGAGTAATTAAGCAAGGGGAAAAAATATGCAGGTGGACTCTTCGTTCAACGACATTATTTAAAAAAAAACTGTTGTAGAAGGAATTTTGCTGTAGAGAAATTGATGGGACCAGAAAAGTTTCCTTAAGCAGAGAAAATCGTTGTGGAGTGAGACAGAATCAACATCGAAGCTATTTTGTTTTTCCCCCCATCCACTCACTAGAAATATTTTTTACTTTATTTGAAAACAGTAATGACAGTTACATCATTGCGAAATTTGTGTTGAAAACAATTCTTAAAATGAGTTCTAAGTCTCTGATATTCACATTGAGGGAACTGCATTGAATCAATTAATAAATTTAGTCATCGTTGACAATATTCTGATTTATTGATTTTGGGCAATCACAAGAAAAAAATTGAGAGGTCCTTGCATAGATCTGTAATTTATTTTTGGAATATGAATTGTAGGTAGGTTGATGTTTGGGCGACACCTGCCTGACATTAAAGTAAACAATCGAAGTGAGACTCCTACGCCAATTTCAAATAACGCCCTCTCAAAATTTGTCTCGGTTTGAGAATGGCCTTCATTGTATGAAACATGTTGCGAAACCTTTTTTTAAATTGTTATATAAACATTGAATCGAGGTTTTCCAAGTAATTTTGCGGTTTGTTTGTTGTTGTTGTGCAATTGTGTGTGAATATTTTTGTGATTCCAACGTAGTCTGATTTGTTTCGTGTGCAAGATTATGTATATAGGTTCCAATTTACAGTATTTTTCAACTCAAGTTGACTCAATTTTGAATTTTTGACTCGTGTTTAGCTGCTACGAAAGTTGAAATATTTTTTTTTTCCGGCGTTCAGTATTATTGGGAATAAATAACATTCAACTTTCAAAAAAATGAAGCTGCAAAACGGGAAGAAAGATCGACGATATTATTTCTCGGAAGACCGAAATCTTCGCAGAGCCTGCAAAAATTTTTGAGAAATAACGGTCTCGCATGAAGTGAGCAGCAGCAGGAGTTTCAGAGGAGGGGACGTTTTTTTCGTGGGACAGAATGAGCTTGTGCCGCCTTGGGAAGGAAGGCAGTTAAAGTCCCGCTTCGCGCCTTTGGTTGCCTCTGTCTTCACATGCCCCTTTTCCAGCCAGATGAAAAGGAAAAAATAAAAAATGAATAGAGGCGAATGAATAAAAAATACTGTACTTGCTTCCTCACACCCCGAGGATCCCGTTTTCTGTTTCCCTTTCCTATGTGATGTGAGTCCAGTACAGTACAGCATTTGCTTGTTACTGTCCAGAAATAATTAAAATTGAGAACTCGTCGCGGAATTTTGTGGAGTGTTGTTGAGGCTGGTTTTCCTTTTTTTTGCTGCTCTTGTTGGGGGATTTTTTTAATCAACTTCGGGTTGCTACGAGATTCAAAAGGACAATGAAAAAAAAAAAAAAAAACTCGACGTCGGGAGAATTTCGTTGTATAGAGAACCAAAAATAAATTCGTTATACTGTACAAAGAGAGTCTACCCGTACATTGAATTAACTTCGGTGAAATAATTAATCAAATTCAAGTTAGTGAAATCTCCGTACAACAAAGCCACTGGGACCATTTAAAAAACGTCGCTGTAAGAGATAAATATCGTTTTAATTAACTCATTCAACATCGTTGCTATTAGACAGGTACATAAAGATAAATTAATTTTCAAGTGATCATTTGTTATACCGAGATTCTACTAAACTAAGAAATCCGAAGTGAGCCTCATGAAGACATTTATTAAAACGCGTCAAAAAATTGTAAAAGTAGAAAAATGTGGAAATTCCACCTGTGACTAAATCAAAGTTTGCTTGTTAATTTACCTCTTGATTTTATAACGCCCACTCTACTAGTTGGGACTTCGTCTCATTTAAAGGACGTCATAATTTTAGGGTCACCATTGGAGGTCACTGTAGATGGGTGTAAACTTACTACACATGTAACTTACCTGTTTAACTCCTTTACGTGTCTGGTGAATTCCCAAGTTTTCTTCACTGTTGAGCAAGAGTTTAATTCTAGCAAGAGTTCTTTTTCGGATTTTTGCTTTGAAGTGTGACGGAAACCATTAAAATTGGTGTTACTTCTTTCTCATCTATTCCAATTTGAGTTCCTCTATAGTGTGCATAAACAGTGAAATAAAGATGATTAAATAAAAGCTTTCAATTCCTCCTGTAAATAACTGTTTTATGACCTTTTTCTGTCTCTATGTGCGCCTTTCTCTCCTTTCAGCATTAAAGCACTGAGTCTTATGATGTAGAATTTAGAAGATATGTTATGGTCAAAATTTGTCACCTTTTTGAAACGGAGGAAATGAATTTTATGGATTTTAAATCACCTGGTTTTTATATATGTTTATGCGAAGACAAATTTTATTGGCAAGATATTTCAAGACTAACAAGTCGTTCGTTACATTTACCTGAATGAGTTTTAAACGACGAAGAAAGTAATTGATTTTTGGCCTGTCCCTATTTTTCAACGCATAACAGGTTATATTTTTCTCGCATTCCAACCTCGGGGACTGTTGCGCAAAAAAAAAAAATAATGTTTGTTTTTCAGCTGTACTATTTCACCTTCGAGCCACTGAAATGCGCATTTTTTCGTAACACCTCGTGAACTTTTTCCTCCTTCCTTCCTTCCTTCTTTCTTTCTTAAAAAAAATAAAACCACGTCAAAGGAAGCAAAAAGCGGACGTTAGTTTTTCACTTCCGGCTTTCCAGGTACGGCCCGCCGACGGTGAGACCACCGAGGCCCGATGGGAGCCCCACAAAAAGCGCGGTTTTGCTGTCTGTCTCTCTCGTTTTTTTTTTTTGTTGGTTCTCCTTTTCTTCCCTTTCTTTCTTTTGTGTGGTCAAGCAACAGTTTATTTGGGGTCATTTTTCTTCCTTTTGTTTCCCCCCTTTTTTCTTTTATTTCCCATGGGTGGAGTGTGTTTGTAGGGGTTTTGTAATTTGTGATTGAGTGATTTGTCCAGTGGTGGGATTGTGGGTTGGACTTGTGGAAGGGGAAGGAAAACAAATTCCTGCAATTTCTTGCGCAACATATACATAAAAAAAAGAAGGTAAACCCAGAACGTCTTCAGAACACTACTAATAAACTCCCAATCAAGTTTTCAAAAAAACACTCTCCAAAAGTAATAATCTTAAATACTCAACCGATCTTAAATTGAAATTTGAGTTTTTATCTTGTATTTGATTCAAGTTTTCCTCAGGGAGGTTTGAAGTGAAGAGAAGGGAGAATTGAAATGTAAATCCTCTTTGAGTTTTTGCGCAATTGCCAATTTTTATGTAAATTCAAACTGACATTTATATTGAATGTTGAGAATATTCTTAGTAACACATGCAAACAAAACAATTGCATAACAAGTACACTACATTTTATTTGCATTCAGTATATACATCTATAGTATATAAGTATGATTAGGTAAATTCAATTTCATTCAAATGGGGAGCATGGTTAAATTTCAAATTGTAAAATACAATTCCATGTGAGAGTAAATTCACATTTTTGTATTCTCACTCTTTGAGATGCATTTAAACTGTAAAAAAATAATCGAGGGAATTGTTGAGTAAGGAAAAATGGATTCATTTGTGAATGTGGGATCGTGTTATGCTCCAATTATTATTGAATGTGTTGATCACTCATAGATTTCCTTCCTGCAGGAAGGCGCTTTTGTGAAAATCATTAAAATACATTTTTTCAATTTTCCTGTATCATGTTTTCTAAGATTTAGCCCAAGTTTAAGAACGCAAAGGCAATGGAAAAGTTGACCAAGGGAAATGGGAGTCAAAATGTTTTTGAGTTATAATTGGTCAGGGACTCTCTGGGAATTCGACTTGAAATGTAATTTAATTTTATGTCCAAGAATTGGGATGTTCATCTTTAAAAAAAAATGCATTCATCTACAACTTTTCTTCCAAAAGAAACCAGGGTGTGTATCTTACTTGAAGTAGTATAGTGCTGAAGTAAATGAGGTTCTTCATTTTCAAAGTACTGATACTCTAGTATAACTGACTAACTACAGTACTTTACTTTATGTGATTGCTTCAGGAAAGACATTTCTCAGACTCCTCCCATTTCCTGACCTACATTGACATGAGTCATGTATTCCCACAGGTGTCAGTAATTGCTCCTCCATTTTTTTTTTGCTTTTGGATTGGAATGCATTCCTTGGTACGAGTCAATTAAGTCCTTCAATCAGTCCATTCCTCAGTGAAGGGGCAATATCTCAAGTCATTAGTAATTCCCGGCTCAGGGCGTCATTACAATTCCAAATTTATTTTCTCTCCTGCACAGAAGTGGTGATTGCTGTCGCATTCCCCTTGAGATTTATTGATGTTTGGAGACCTTGCTCACGAAATTGAAGTTTCATTTTGTTCATATACTGCGTTTTGTTTCATGCTGAAAAAGGAAAGGTTTACCTTGAAGCGTTTGTTACTGGTAACTTGATGGGTGAACTTATCATCGGAGTTTATGAGGACTTAAAGGTAATAAACTGAAGATATTGAGCTTCGGGTGTTGAATTTTGCAATGGGTACTTGACAAGTTTTTTTTTTTTTTTTTTTGGGACCAAGAAGTGTAGTAAGGTGCGGAGGAAAAGGTGTTTCTGAGTTTTTTATAAAAAGCTGTTGTTGTGGTTACACTGCAGGATATATTGTGCCAAAAGTTATGATATTATTGGAAGCCACTGCTGATAAGTACTGAATTTCAGCCTTGAACACGTTCATGAGGGTCTATAAATGGATGGAAATTGCTGCTTTGTCTAGAATTTTTCATCAGATGCATTTTTGCTTTTTTTTTTTTCAGAGTTGGCAAATCATCCTTGACTCTGATGTGATTAGGTGATGGACTGTAAAAGTGTGTTCTTTTCTGCTACCAGTTTAAAAAAAAAAACTGTATGATTTATTTCTTTTTCCTTTTCTTAAAGATGTAATTTTCTCTTACTGTTGTGAAATGGTTCTTCTTGATTCTGATGCCAAGTACCACAAATGGTTTATGAAATTATTGTTAAACTCCTGTATGTGATTGGGGAAAAAAAATGTTTGTCAAGACTGAGGAGAATTGAGAAATTTTTACTTACTTCTGGTCTGAATACTTGTACATCAGTATTTTGTAAAAATCCTAGCTGAAAAAAAATAACTTTTGGGGACTTCAGAAAAAGTTTGTTGTACTGTACTGAATAATTTTTGATGATACTTTCAAAATCAATGACAAAAATGTTCCATCATACCTTCCTTACAATAGATTTTGCTTCTCTGTCTCAGATTTTTAAGAACATTTTCTAAAAAAAAAAACTATGATTTTCTGAGAAAAAAATTGGCTTCAATCTAGAATTCCATGATTTGCACCAATATTTTCATGCTGGAAGGATGATGAATGGGACCACCTGGAAACATGTTTGTCACATCAGATTCCATCCATGCTGCAATAAGAACCTGTCAGTCACACTTGGGATCAGTAATTTCAGACTGTGCCTGTCTTAGTCATGAAATTTCTACCTTGAGAATATATTAGAGATTTCCTTTGAAGAGTTTGTTTTATTGGAATTACTGGGAAGTTTGTTATAACGGGATTGTTTCAATGTGTTATTCGATGGGTCTTCTGGTGAGACTTCAGAAAAAAAAGTTTGTTGTACAGAAACACATTTTGTAACAGTATTTGTTATATTTTATTGTTTTAAGAGACGGATACGGAGAGGGAGAGAGAGAGACAGAGTGGGTACCAACCACAGTACGGGTTTCAGTTCTGTTTCTTTCAAAAGTTGAAAAAATAAAACCCAGAACCCGGTTTTTTTTTTTTTTTTTTTTTTTTTTGTTACGCTCAGTTTCGGCTGNTGAAAAAAAAAAACCCAGACCCCGGTTTTTTTTTTTTTTTTTTGTGGATCGAGTCACGCTCAGTTGCGGCGGCTTCTCTATCTTTCTTGGGTCGGCGGCCAGAGGCGCCCTGGACTTGGGTTCTCAATCCCTGTCTCTCTGTGCTCTTTGTGTATGTGTCTGTCTGTCTTTCTTTCTTTGGCCAACCTTGCGCAACCCGAGAAGTCGTTGGGTCGGTCGTTGGGTCTCGCCTCCCAACCAGCCCGGTGCTGGTGGTGCTGCTGCTGCTTGTGTTGTTGTTGTTGTGCAACACCCCTGGGGGCATTTATATATATATATATATATATACTGTACAGTACAGTACAATATATATATATATACTGTATATGCTGTACGTACTAGCTGTTCTGTGTCTGTCGGTCTGTTCTGACGCGTGCTGTTCATGTCTGTCTGTCTGAGGTATTGGATCCACGTTTGGCGCACGTGTGTGTGTGTGTGTGTGTGTGTGTGTGTGTGTGATGTGTTGAAAAAATAAATGCAATGCTGGAAAGAAATGATGGGAGTGCTGCGGCATTTTAAATTGGCGTGAAGGAATGTTTGCGCAAATTTCGAAAATGGACTTTTCTTCTTTTTTATTTTGTTTGTCCACCAGTCCAGTTGAGAGACTCGGAAAACTTGAATAGTAAGGGTTGGAATTTCGCAGTAATTTTTTAAAAATGTGTTTCAGGAAATCCATTTATTTTTGACGAATGCCAATTTTAACAGAAATTTGAAATCGCGGGTTTGAGACATTTTTTTATGCTTTTCAAGTGGCCAAGAAAAATGGTGAAAACGGAAATCAGGATTTAGTTTTTAATTAAAATGTTTAAAAAAAAATCTTTTTTGAAGCTTTTCAGCATTCACACAATCAGTCGAATATCGTTTGAATGATGCGATTTTTACTCTACTCCTGGGGTACCTTCTGAACAAGGTGTTTTATTTTTAAAAATTAATATTTTATATGGAAAACAAAGTGAAAATTGAATTTCGATTTTCTATGAAATTGCACATAAATGCGGATTTAGGTTTCCGAAGCGTATTAATTTTTTTTTTCAAATACGAGTGACATTGTCTAATTTGAAATGAAAAGACCTTTAAACATATTCGCCGATTTTATTCGATTGCACAATTCCTCGTAAATCGGTATTAATTTTGATGTTGTAATCATTTTTGCATCCTGAATATTAATTCGAGGACTTGATTTGCATTCCATTTTCTGCAAAAAATTGACTATTTTGATTTAAGTCATTATCCAAAGGAAATGTTTGCTGAAAAATTGACGATTGCAAATGTCTTGTGTTGAAAATGCGGATATTAAAAGTGTGGTCAATGGCATTTCGAAAGGCTTAATGGAAAAGTAATGACATTTTAAGGTTTTATGGATCGGTTTTTCATTGAAACCCCCCAAGGTCACGAGTGAAATCAAGGAAAATAATGAAGAGAAAAATTTGACACTGCGGAGCTTCGATTTATTTTTATTGGCTGCTAATAATTCTCGGTGACTATTATAAAAAATATTTTGGCGTGGAAAAATTTCGAGTAATCCTTCATTAAAATTTTTGTTATTCGAAAAATTACTCAAGTTATTCGGAATCCAAAAGAAAAATCGGGCCAATGAGTCAATATATTTGACGACACAAATTGTAAAATGCCGAAAAATTCTCAGCAGGGAAATTCCTATCCCAGAAGAAACTTTCACAACGACGAACACACACGCGAAAATAATGTATGAGTTTGTATATTTCCGGACATTTACGCAAATGACCCATGAATATTCAGATGTCGAAGGAGAAAAAGGACGCCGCTGCTGCCAAAAATAAAAAATAAGAATAAAAAGGTCGCCTCGAAAATATCACGATGACACGTGTGACACACGTGCTTCGTCAGGAAACTCGTTAGAACATAAATAAATACCGACGGAAAATAAGCTCAGTTGCTCACTTTCCCAGAGTCATTCTAGGTTAATCCGTTAGTCGGCGAGCAGTTGTGTGTTTTTCCGCTCATGTAATTGTATGAAACGGGTCGGTATTTTCTCTTACCCTATATATATATATATATACTCTGAATGCGTAAGTGATTTTTTTATTTTTTTTTGGTGGGAAGAGAATTTCCGGAAAAAATGCGTCGTAAATCCTTGTCACCGGAATAAGTGACGCCGGCGGAATTGAAAGGATGAGAAGGTGGGAAATGCGTAGGAATTTTCTCAAGAGAGTCTCATTTATTAACTTGCTCTTTTTTTTTTCGTTGATTAATTATTTACCTGTGCTGTGAGTTTGCGTTTTGATCTTCTTTTTCTTTCTTTCTTGCCACAGACGTGTGTTGCAAAAGTGAAATATGCAATAATTTTAATTGAAGAAGGGAAAGTAAAATGTGGGTTCCATTTGCTGGCTGCTGATTTATTGACTAGTGATAAACGAAATAATCGTTTGCGTTGAAGACATTTTTTAGGTCTTTTTTCATTGAAACGAAGGTATTTTTCTGGTCCCCAGGGCTTCGTTGTAACGAGATTTTACTGTATTTGGTTCATATAAACACTCGTAGATAATTTGATGACGGTTAGATGAGCTTATTTATTTATTATTCAGCGAACACTTGTGTTATTGAATTTTTATCGAATGAATTGGCAGAGGAAAATTATGCAATTAGCACACACTTCTTTCTTCTGATCAATTTTTTGCCATTATAATTACAGTAATTGATCATCTATAATTTATTATGATGTTTAGATTTTATTTTTGAGTCAACTGTATTTTATTTTGTCATATATGCTGTGTGTGAGTTGATGAAGAATTCAAAGAGTCTGAAGTGCAAACTAATAAATTGTGCATGTGTGCTTTCAATCTCCTTGATTTTGCCCTGTTGATAAACCTTCACCAAATGCATTTGTGGAGGCAGTATAAATGCTTTGCAATTTTTTCCCCCAAGAATTCCTAAATGCATATTTATTGGGGACAAGTGTGAAAAATCGTTGAATATGAATTCTTGGAATTTATTCCATCTTGGGAAAAGCTTTTATTTGGAAACTTGTGGTACTTTTTTCCTCACTACTCCCTTGAAAAAGATTGGAAATACTCCCACAATTTTTTATTTATTTCCTGAAATCCATGCGATTTTCACTCATCTCTATTAGCAGAGTGTGTCTGTGGGTTTTGTAAGTGTCTTTGACTTTGAAAACCCACAACAGGAATGAATAAAACTTATTTTGGGAAATGTCTGCTGGCCAGTGTGACCACTGTTATCGGTGGAAATTGTATAACAATTCCCCGATATATATTGCGAGAATATTCGCCATCAAGCGAATATTGCTATTCGGTGTTATTCCTAACACCGGGAAGAAGTAATATATTAATATACAAT